TTATTTTTTATTTTTTATTTTTTATTCAAACGGCCATTTCTATACGCGTTACGATATTGTTATGAAATAACTCGGCAACTACAACCTACAGCGGAAGTTTATTGTTCATCGTGTGTCGAAAACGATTTATATTTATTTTGCTGGTAACGCTCGCGAAATGTCTCCGACAACCGCATTCAAAAATTCTATCTTGTTCACATCAATATAAACTGTCGACACAAATAAACATMATATTATCGTACGTAAATAAAAACATTATGTCATAAATATATTACTTCAGTCTTGAAGCGAAGGTCTATCGCGGATAAATAAATTTAATCACGTCACTGCTGTAAATGCTATATTGTTTTTGTTAAATGAAARCCTAATGATATTTTTTACTATCACTTAAGTACGTATATTATGATATATTGGTATATTAATATATCATATATAGCTTAAACGTCAAAATAGGTAAAACAACCCTTAGTAAATGCAGTAGACAAAACGTCTAAAAGAGAAAATTAAATTGATCATATATGTTACATAAATAGCTAATTTACATTTAGTTTAATATTATTTCACTGCATCATAACATGTGCAGATTGTCACTTAGGTACTCGCATATCCTAACTGTTACTTACACTTTACAGTCTACAGATACTATCATTATCAGCATATTATTCAACCACCATAAAAAAAAAAATGCAAACTCAAGAACTCTCGAACTCTAATTTATTATTACTATTACTATCATTATTATTGTTATTATTGTTATTATTACTAATTGCACGTAGTTTACTTTTGACTATATTTATGAATATTTATGTTTTCCCCATCTCAAAAGGCATTTAAAATCTTCAGGAGCAGTGTGAGATTTCTCTTAATTRAAAAACATTTCAAGATTAAATAAAAGTAGTTATTCTAGTTTGAAATATTTTACATAATAATTGCGTGTTAAAGTCGCAAAATAAATTAAAGAGTGAAATTAAAAAAAAAATAATAATATTATGATAAAAAGAGTAAAAGCGAAAATCCTTTTCTACTGTAGGTATATAGCTCAATACCCGTATATTAAAAGAGGGTGAAGACCCGCTCGATTCATCTCTACTATTCAACTTTCAAAGAGAAATTATTAGAATGAGGAGTTGTCTAACTAATTACGTGCAATTTTCTTTTAGATATTAATTTTATCCTTGCAATGAGTGGYCAACCTATATTAATTTATAGTCTCAAATAATTAATTGTTGATTGACGATTTTGACCACTGATAATGACGCACGTCCCCCATTGTGTCATAAAATAATTTTTGACGGTTATATTTCAGTATTCAATCATATCAATAATATKGTCTAGTCTAAAATATCTGGTTGATGGGTATATACTCCCTCAGTCCCTCAGTTTTTTAATGCATCACGCGTTAATAACCCATGCCATATAGACATAGAATAATTTTTATGCTGTTTTACCGATTTTTCTTCAAAATATATTTTAACTCAACAACTTATATATTTAATACAATAATAATGATATCATGATATTCATAATAGTATCTCTTAGACAACCGGACGGTACTTCGGAAGTTCGGAATATAGAATTATTTATTATGTATATAACATCATATATTTAATATCTGTGCAAAAAATTCGACGATCCTAAGAACGATAAATTCTACGGTGTCTCGAAGCCTCGTCGATATATATTATAACTTATAGGTAAATGATGGTCTACTGTGATTTACCGAAGAATATGTTGTATAGATATATTTGTACTGCTTACGTGGAAAAACTATCATCGCGCTTTATATGATAAATTATATACTATCTATATGGCTATATATTATATATTATGCATTATATTATACTGTAATGAAGATCTATACTCTTTGAACCGTGCAGGACTCAAGACTCTGTATCTGAACCTAATTTTCAGATGTGTACAGGGGTGTACTAAGGAAGAAACGAGAAGAGTATTCGTACATTTAAATTTATTATTTATAATAATATAAATAATTCCAATGTCCCCTTTCAGTATTCTATTCCTTTGACGTTTTTTCATGATAATTTAAGATTCGAAAACAAAAATATAAGAGACTATACTATAATGGGGACCAATCGCATATAAATATGTGTAAATATATATAGCTATCAATCGTGTTATATTATACATATCTATGTAGCAATAGTTTAAAAAAAAAA